AGCTCAATTGGTAGAGCGCTGCACTAGTATCGCAGAGGTCAGTGGTTCGAATCCCGTACAGGCCTGATTTTTTTCAGGTCTGATTTTCGCTATTGCCTAAATAGTGCTATCTACTGCGAAGGATCGTACATCATACGTGTTTAACTATCATCGACTATCATGCGCCGTTCGACCAGGGCTTAATTGTTTAACACTAACTTGACAAAAATTTTGAATTTTTTACCAATAAACAAGATCTTGAACTAAACTCCCTAAATATTCTGTCGTTCGGCGCCATATCTTCCTGACTATCCAGTATCAGTCCAGGAAGTTGAATTTCTTCAACACAACATGATCCTCAGTCTCACATTTGTTCGACTGGAACTCTTTGTGTTGTGGTGAATTACACGTTCAACGTAACTTTGTCACAACGCTTTGTTATTGCAAATTTGTAAATCGATCCAAAATACGAATCTCATTGTTTTTTCGTCAGTCAAAATGGTTGTTAAACAGACATCAACTCTTTGATAACCATATGTGGTCGAGGAGATCTTTCCGTTCATTGCATCTTTATCACTTAAAGTTGTTGATTACGAGCTGTGAGATAAAGCGTACTTTTGAATGACGAGGGTGAGAAAAATTTCTTCCAAAGGTTCGATTGTCATTTTACTTAACAAATTTGTGAGGATCAATGATTTTTGCCACTTCATCTTAACTTGGCCATTCAGAATCAATCGTGGCGCTGCCCACGATTTCTGTTCATCGTTGTTAAAAAAGAAGGGGATAGAGTATGGTGAAAGACTAACCTTTCATCAGGAGAACGCTTGCAGAGGGTCAGCCAACGAAAACTTAATAAAACTCGTGAATGAATAAGAGCTCTCTGTTGTGTCTATGGTGATTCTCTTATGGCTTTTTATGAAAGAAAGTTAGAATTATTTGCTCACTTTCATAGTTTACAAAATCGATCGATTAGAACCAACCAACCGGATCGTTGTCCTTTCAAGGCCACTTAGGTGACTGTCAATTTATTTGAGTCAGATAGTCGATTGTGTTGTCTTCGTGCAATATATGTATGGACGAAAGAGGGAAATGAAAGTTCGAGTGATCATTTTTCATGCAAATATGTCCCCTCGTGGTGACCTGAATAAACTTAAGTGTCAGCCTTAATTGAAGTTTCTGCTCTTTGGCTTCACTAAAAAAAGTAGCGAGGATATTTTGTTTCATAAATGTAATCGTTGCATTCACTGCACTTGTTTTGGTTGTCATAGTAAAAGTAGGCACTAAACTTCCCCCCAAAATTATCAACCTTACTTGAATTTTCTCTGTTACATAGCAATTATTCGTTTCAAGAAAGAAAGACATGACCGGGAGCAGTCGGAAATAATAGCGCTACCATATCTAAATTTTCGTTACCTGTCCCACACTGAACTGACAAAAACATGTTAACTTTTTAATTTTTTTTCCCGGTTTTATTCGAAGACTTATAATTTAATTTCAGCGCGACCAATGACAAAAACCCCGTCATAGAATTGTTTCTACACAAATTCGAGAACAGGAAAGGTCTTTAATGTTATTTTATGTTGTCCTCAACTGTTACAACTGTCAATGAAAACAGTGTTCATTAAAACATTTTTTTTAATTTAAGTCTCTGTCAACTTGGTCTATTGTAATTCTCAAATCTGATTGGTTCGGTCCAATTCGTCATATCCGCCCAGGAATAACTACGGGCGCATGAGAGAAAACTTGTCTTTTTATGTTCTGTTTGTAGATAATGAAGCAGAAATATAATTCTATGGCCAGTGTCACTGTCCTTTAGCTGCTAATAGAAAAAAATTATCTATTTTTTAATATCTTTTTTTCTTGATTAAAGAAAATATTGAAAATAATTCTTAGTTCAGGCTTCAAACTGTCTCTCTAATATGGGAATTAGGCTACGGACCTAGATCCATCGATCGTAAAGCCAGTGACTCTTGGCGACCGGTTTGGTTTTGAATAAAAGCATCTATAATCATTAAAGCGAAGGCACGAGCGAGCGAGTTTACGCCTTTTTGACAATCATCTGACAGCCAAGTAATATAACATATAATGAAACATTTATATCGTATATTTTCAATACAATCTAAATGCTGAGTCTCCCGGCACAGTTATATTCCAACCCGGGTTACAAAACAAAAACTACACAGAAGACTTGAAGAGATTGACATGCTCACTTAATGCGGGCTTCTCGTTTAACGTGTATCGCTATAAATGTACAAACTTAGATTAAAAAAAGAAACCTACGACATGTCAACCTGTCATTATTTGAAGTTTAAAGTTGACAGTCCAGGCTGATGATCCACAAAAATAGATTAATATTCGTTAACCTGCAAGTTTTTTTTTTTTTCAGCTAAGCTAGCCAGCTGCTGCAGTAATTCCCATCTTATTGCCTGGGAGCCTCAATGTCTTATAGTCCGCTTACAGATGACGATTTCACTGAAAATTTATACTTTTTTCAAACCAGGTTTCATCAAAGAAACAAAATACCTGTATTAAATTTCACGTGAATGTTTATGAAAAGTGTTGTTTTGACACTCTCAGATAAGAACGTTAAGTATAGGGATTTGCCATCTCTTGTTGGACAAAATTTACAATAATGAGTTTCATTTCTTGACGCGAGATAACAAGTGTGTTTTCGTTGCAGGGTGTTAAGAACTTAAGTATATCATACTTCTTTGAATGAAATAAATTGTGGCTTTTGTTTTGGACTGAGCAGATGTTCGCAGATCCTTAACGAAAGGTTTGTATCTTCGTTTCACTTTCGTAAAGCAGAATGATTTACAACTGGTGCGGGTTGTCTTGGTTTGGTAAATGACTTACAAAGCTTGCTAAGTTTCCGTGGCTATACAGCTGCTTTGACGGTCGAAAATGATGTGAATTGAAACTAAAGGGCATTTAAAGAAAACACAGAGTACATGTGTCTATATCTTTCTAACATACCGGCTTAGAATGATTGTGCCTCAGGGTATTCCACAGCAGGAATATGGGATTTGATTTTTTCTCAGGCCAGAGAACTAGGTATTCAAGTAATTAACTGGCGAATCAGTTACCCATCTTTGTTTTCAAAGTTGGATTTACCTTTTATCCGCCGTTTAGGTACGGTTTCCATGCTAAGTCCTGTTTAGAGTCTTGACAAAAATTCGACCAAGCCGTGCGTCTCGTTCTCCGCCAATTAGACTGATTTTCTCTTGCGGTCTGACTTCTTCTGGACCAAATAAGAAGGACAATTCCAGCATTTCAATCTTTGCAATATTTTTATCTTTTAATTAAAATTCCTTACTCTTCATTGGCTGTCGATAAATGTCAAACTTAGCACTTTATCACTTAGGGTTGTCTTTCGCTCTCATCAAGGTAAACATCACAGGAAACGATGGTTCTGCCACAACTCTTCTCGTTTGATGCACACTAATTAAAATCGACATTAAATAACATCTACACTAAAATTACTACAGTTTCAAATCACTGCAGCAAATTAATTTTAATTTGCTCTGGATGAGAAGCATCTGTGACCTGTTTCCTCTTATTGTTAGAGGGCTAGCTTGGAAGTGCGAAACGAATTGGCGTTTGGATTTGTTGGGGTCCAATTAACAATGCGTGTAGATTAACGGGGTAAATTATGTCAACAGATGATTGAAAGGTAGTTTTAGTTTTATTCATACAATTCCTAATCCTTTAATTCTCAAGATCTGCTTGTTAATTCTCCTCTCAAGTTGCTTCACATTTCCTTATAAATAAGTTACAAGAATTTGGTGTTAGATCAGGATAACAACTTCTACATAATAACTTTGAGTATTCTCATTGCCTGTCTGCAGAATAATGTATGGATATTTCAGGGAGAAGTAACATGTTTATCACTTCTGAAAGTTAAAAGAAAAAAAACTAACACAAGCCACGGACGATGAGAACGACCAAAAGGAATTGGTTCTAACAGAGTGGTGTTTTCGAACCCTTTTAATGGCTTTCCTTTCCTACTTTAACCTTCGGGGCTTTTTCTTATCCCTATTGATATTGGATATCGTCAAGAACTACCTGAAGGACAACCTTTATATCAAGCAATCAATAGTTAATAAGCGACAAATAGCATAATAAACGATTACTGAACCTGCTGGCGTGCCTAAAAATTTACTTTTGTATCTGTTCATAACATCAAAAACGTGTTCTTAACTTAAACCTCTATCTCTCTATTTCTGCGCAACAGTAAGAAGCCTTGGAAGCTTTAGTATTTCAATTCAGGGCATCAAGCTCTGAGGCGGACGCCTATAGCACCAACCTCTTGCTTTTCGCGTAATTAACATTTGTTTCATTTACGTTCGCCGCGCGATTTGCCTTAACATCTCAATTTGAGCTCTTTGTCAGTGGTCACTGAGCGATTTCTCAAACTGAGACAAACACAATACCACTAACAATTGGCTTTATTTCAACCATCTGCAGCTGTTCCACGAGCTAAATATTTACGCTACTGTCAGAGAAAATAACAAAGTTACTTTTTAATATTACAACTTTTTACCACAAGAAAATGAGAAAAATCGGTCATTAATGAGCCTCAAGCTTTGTGAAAACGATCAGCATGTAGTACCGAAAGCACAAAATATCTCTTCTACCTCCGCACGACTTCTGACTCTGGCAGTTGAACTCTAACGACTTTTTTTCAGCTTTAGAGAGGGCATACTGTGTAGAAAGAAATGTTTTGACCATGCAAACGCATCTGAACTTTGCATAAATTGTCTCATTTAGTGGTGTGGTCGGTGTTCTCAGTTAATACTAAAATTTGAAGTTTTTATTCGATTTGTACACATTGACTGCAAATAGCGACAGAAGGTAACCGACGGACAAATTTTTGACCACTTTTCCTCAGTAGGAAGTTCTTTCTTTTTAGCTCGGCTATTTTACATTGGTAGAGTTCTCGTAAACACGCTCAATCCCTGGCGCAGCTGAAAAGTTCTGATTAATGTTGGCTTTCGCTTTAAATTCAAATTTAAATCGAATTATGATCGGTCAATTGATACATCGCTCAACAAAACTTAATGCTAAAATTTATTACACGGCTTATAGTTTTTTCCAAGAACAATCTAGTGGTCGATCATATAAGACCTGGATATACCCAATTACCATGTACAATTTTCCATTTATATTTCAGACATGAAATGGAGACGATAGGTTTTCATTTTTCTAAAGAACAATTCCACTTCCTTTTAAACATTTTCAATAGCTTGGCGAATGTATGTTAAATCTGCTTTAGGGAAATGGCGGAATCCCCTTTTTCTTCAGTGATCTCCTCGCGATATTGATTGAAGCAAATTGTAAATTTGTAATTCCATTTGCGTTTCAACAGGCCCTCAAAAACCACTTTGAACTCCTTATTCAATGTCCCATATGCGATGGGATTTAACGCACAATTTGCCATGGGAAATACATTCGAAAATCTAAAGATATACATTTTGAATCCCATCTGGTTAAGATTCCCATATTCCATCCAAAAGTACACAACATGCTGGGGCAGCATACAAATGGCATAAATAATTACGAGTACAAAAAGCATTTTAGTTATTTTAGTACCTTGCTGCATTCGCTTTCTTACAGCTTTTGTGATGACAAGAGACTCTCTTTTTGTGCGGTTAAACAGGACGTCTCTTCTAAGTTTACAAGCAGCAATGGTCGATAAAACACAGATAACAACAAGAGGTGTTATGTACTGAAGAACAAAAATAGAGATCCAATAAACATTATCAATTGCTGAATCTTTGGGCCAGCCTGGCTCCGAGCAGTACACCTGTCCATTGCTACTCCTTTCCTCTCCCGCTACAAAAATAATTGGCAAAGCTACGACTAGAGATGTGATCCAAATGCCAATGATAATCCCCTGAATTTCTCTCTTGGTCAGTTTTGCCGCCAGTGGGGAAACTATTGCACGGTAACGGTTAACTGTTATGGCCAGTAAAGAACCAATAGAGGCCGACAAACATAGCGGAATGATGATGTAGGCAATCCTACACATAATGTCCCCCAAGGCCCAGTTGTGTTCGTTCTCAAAAGCTGTCATCTGCGTCGGGACGTAAATCGTTACAACGATGAGGTCAGCACAAGCGAGATTGAAAGTGAAAAGGTTGTTACTTGTTCGAAGACGCCTGCGTTTCAACACCGCAGCACACACGATCACATTGCCAGCAATGCCCACGACAAACACAAAGATATATAAAACGCGTAACGTCCATTTTAGCGGAACAGGCTCAGAAGAAATCGTCGTTAGTACGAAAGACAAAGATGCGTTAGCTTCTGGCATTCCTTTTCTGCTGAATTTTAACGGTTTTCGCTTATATTCTTTAGTAAAAAAACGAGTGCCCTTCATTCAGTAACATTAACAAGAAGAGGTTTTTTTCAAACAGTGCCGCGGCAGTCGCAAATCTAAAGCTTTATGTTTTATTTCATCCATAATGAAAAATGTTTTTCATGGCGTATTTTCTCAGTCTTGAAACAAGAATAATAATCACTCTTAAATCAGTGGGACGTTTTCAGAGGAACTGTTTCGGTCTATTTAGAAATGCTTGAAAGAGCTTGAAAGCCTGACTCGATCATTCAGTGATGTCTCATAAAAGCCTTTTCCTTTGGAAAAGAGACAAAGCTTTTCTGCTTTTCTTCCTGAGTGAAAGTGGAACTTATTAAAGTAAATGTATTCATATATGTTTAATTCAATTCAATTTAAAGGCGTTAAATAGGATATATGCGTTTTCAAACCATGCCGATGTTTAGATTAGTTCATTATTGAGCAAAGAAAAGGTATTTTTCATTTTCTTTGTCTGTCATTTGCGTAGCATCCCAGAGAAATTTTAATTTTAGAATTCGGTTCTATAGTTTTTGTTTCTGTTTCTTGAGAAATAGACCTGCCGTTTGAGGAAAACAAAGCTAATCATATGCTTTTTTGCAAGTAGATATCGATTGCAGAAATTGGTAGTTTCACGTTCTTGCCGATAACTAGAATTCACTGATCCCTATCTCACTTACAGCTTGTGTAGGTTACGTTATCGACCTACATAAACGAATGGTAACAGTATAATGTTATTGTTGGACTTAATGTATGCAAAATTATTAATTGTGCTGTCAGAGCAAATTAATCACTGTAATGAAAGTAAAATGTTATCTTATTCACATGTCTGGTAAAAAGCTCCTGAATTTTTCGAAAGAAGACTGTAGATCAAACGTATTTTGCAATTCTTGGTATTTGGTAAAAAAAAAAAAGCTTGATCGTCTTCGAACAGACGCACCTCTATAAAGATACCACTAAATATAATAAGTGGGGCCATATAAATTAAAACCGACTGGTACGACTGTGACCTTTGGGCAACAGATCGATTATGCAAATGAGTTCTTTTTACTGTTTCAGAGCTTAACTACAATAATTTTGTCCTAAACGAAACAGCTGCGCGCGCGCTATGCATCGCGCCTTGTGACAAAATAAGCTGTCGCATCTAAAAACAACGCTTGTCGCACGTTGTTATAAATTTGGCATAGATGGTCGCAAGGCAGGTAGCCCCAATAAAAACTGTCATTCTTGTCAATAATAGTGATAAAAATATCAACAATAACAATAGTGATGAGGATGACGATGGGAATGAAATGAGGACCGGACGACAATGGTGATATTAGTAAAAATGACAGTATCAATAATATTGTGTCTCTCGATGCAGACACCAACTGCGGTGTTCCGGCTTCAAAATCTTCTCATTGGGGAAGTTTAGTTATCAATTACATATATGCAGACGACTTCGAGACCGCAAGATGTGCCTATAATAGCGAAAGTCGGTCCATAATAACGACAGTTTGTTTTGGAAATTAGCTGCATGCTCTCCGTGTTATCGTGTTATACTTAATAGTACGTAAAGTTTGTGGTCATCACACGAAACCGAAGCTCTTAATTGCTGGTGTTACTCAGCAATATTATCTAAACACATTTTTGGCATCCAGTCAATTTCAATATTTCTGTTTTACTATTGAAGCGGACTACGCGGACAAAAAGGATTTCCCAGTTTAACCATGAGATGATCACGATTCAAATGAAGAACACAGTTTATGAAAAATAGCTTTGGAAAAAGGGCTGTGTGAACTAGACATTACTTACCATCGAGGAAAAGGATGTGTTATAACCTCACAGATGTTCGAGCTATAATTCACAGCGCTGAAAACTATTGTTAAACGATAAAAATACAACTATATTTAATCTGAAATATCGAAAGGGTTTCCTTATAATGGTGTCGGGGAAAGGAATGGAAATGTTATATTACTTTAAACCATTCAATGCAAAAAATTATAAAAAGGTTGATTACTTCTTATTCCTTTTGAAAGTCTTATCTTAAAGGTAGAGTTTGGTCACGTCTTTCCCGTTATGATCGGGAAATTGACATGGAAACAGTTGTTCAGTTTCTATGGTAATTAGAACTCGTGGTAGTGTCCTGGGAAAGCTATGTTATTAATAAAGTAAATTTGTTAGTCCAGGAAGACTAATTCTCTCTGGTAAAAGGTTGCGTTCGACACCCCTCGTTCTTAGAGGTGACTTAAGGTGTAAACATGTGATAACCTTCATGTTTTTAATGTTCTTGCGCAACACGGTAAGAGTCACCTGCGCTTTTCTAGTAGTGAGCTTGGGCTGCCTGTGCCGTGTTGCGCAACGTTTTATATTTACAAAGGTTTGTATGGGATGTTATCGGTTTGCCTTAAAAGAGAGGAAAAAATGTCTTGTTTTGAAATAAAATGGACTTACCTTATTGCCTTGTTGTTTTCTTTGTTGATTCCTAGCGTCTCAGGCCATTTTA